CACATTGGCACAATCGCCTCGACAACTCGAGTGAGCGTCTTTGCTTCTCTATCTCTTTCTCTCTCACCGTCTCAATTGCTCGTTTGCACTCTAGTTCATTCTCTATCCTTTCTTTTTCCTCTACCTCTCTTCCTATGTCTCCCTCTTTATATATTCCCCACTTTTCTCTTCTATTCTCAGTTCATTCCTGTCCTCCCTCGCCTTCGCACCTTTCCACCAACATCACCCTCTTCACGTCGTCTCCTTTTCCTCGTTTCCTCTCGCTCTATCTCCTTTCCTTTCTTGGCATTGTCGTATGCCCCCCCCCCCCCCCCCTCTTCCAATTCTTTGCTCTGTTTCTTTCGCATCCTCCTCTCATAGTATCTTTCACTTTTTCCTAGCCGCTAGTGGATCAACTCGAGGTACAGCTTAGCGTGACGATGATACTACGCGCTTCCGAGTCCTTCGGCGACCTATAGGATCAACGCTGACGATTAAGATCGTCGTTTCTTAACCACAGTTGAAATGACTCTACCGCTGCGCACTGATAAGGTGCTGCGTTTCCTGATTAGACCTATGTCTATGAAAGACTGGTTTTCTCTACTAAAGGAAATTGTCAGATACTGAAAACGCATCGCACTTTACCTTGAAAGCGTCCGTATATTTGTAGACTTTAAATTAATTACCAAAAGATCTATTAATTTTAATCTTTCTTTAACTGGTGAAAATAGATAAAGAATAAATAAATAAGATGTCGATGAAATAAACAATAAATTATTTAAAATTAATCCGGGTTAATTATTTCTTCCTATTTACATTGCAAATTTGGCAATGTATCACATGTATTTTTTGAAGAATTAAATTATCGTAATTATTAAACGTATAATACATCTAATCAGATAAGATAAGAACACTTTTTACAGAATATATGCAAACAAGACTAACAAAATATTTATATACTATGAATATGTTGTAATACACTGTTAAATTTTATAGGGTCAAATTAACTCAATGTGAGTCGCCACTGCTCCTACTAAATATATCGTTCTCTTTTACTAAAATGATAATTAAATTTGAAACTATATAATGTTAAATTGATACTATATAGTGTCAAATATAACCATTGTTTTATTTGACATTGTTTGAGTTAATTTGACCCTATCAAATTTAACAGCGTAAAGTTTGTTAAATTTAAAACAATGCAAACGTTAAAAAAGAATTGAATACTATAGTCCTTTTTAGTAATTCGAATGGTTCCCACGATCTATTCCAAAAAATCTAATAGACTCAAAGTTGTTTAGCCACGTCTGTTTTATATCTTGAAATAGTCGATAATCCGAAAGGTGTTGGGATCAACTATCGCGAATTAACAGCAACTATTTAAAGACCTGTAACACATAGATAGAAAAAATCTATGGCCAGCATGGCAAGAAATAATGTTTCAGAAAACAAATATTTAGTTACTATCCGCAAAAAAGGCCAGATAAATTATATTGTATTTAAAACGGCAACCCACGAAAATCTTTATTGGGACATGAAATCGTCGATTGAATTTACTGCGCTGAAATCATGGATGTTGCGCACTTATAAGAGAAGATCTACATCAGGACAGGGTTTCGAAGTTGCCTGTTGCGCAAACCTCGATAGGTACGTAGGCAGGTTCGTATCTTGCACAATCGCCGTTGGCATATAGAAGCACAACGCAGTAGAAAAAAAGGGTGTTTGAATTGCTGCAAGAGCTAGCTACTGACATCTTCGTCGTAAATTCAACGGATAGTCATGATTTTTAAAATGTCTCGTTAGTCATTGATACTCTCAAATACAAATTTAAATATTAATAATTTCAACAAAACATCAAATATTAATCAAATAGCCGTTATCGATAGTTTCAAATATGTAATCAGGATTACAAATGGATTACACTAATCATTGTTCAATTGTACATGTACCTTTCGAAATATATTAGATATCAATTGTCGTTAAGCTTTTGTTATATACAGATCTTAACTACCTACATTTTCTTGATATTTATACTAATAAAATAATATACGAACAATATAATGTATTATACAAGTACATATCTGATCACATGTCGGATTATTAATACATAACTTTACACACGATTTTTGCTAACATCCTCAATGATGTACGTACGTACATTACGGGATAACAACATATGGAGGTTATGATTATCTTGTTCATACAATTTATTGATACTTTGAGATATTCATCAACGTGAAGTCTACAATCGTCAATCATAGATATTATAAGTATGCACCACTGAACTTAATAATTTTCACATGAAAATTCATCGTATTCATTAAAGTGATGAAAGTCAATTTTGATTAAGTATATGACGAATGAAACATCCAGACTTACTCGTAGCGTACATTGATGATGCAAGAAAGTATGTTTGTACTTAATTTATTAATGCTCAATACAATATAATACGCTAATTAGTATTCGAACCAAATGCGATCAATACAAAAAACCTAACCAAAGAAGGAACTATACGTATGAACACTGCTGGATCTATATTTCCTCTCAAAAGTGGGCTTAATGACGTCGCGGTGTAACAAGGAGATGCAGGCAGCCGGCAAATCGAACCTTGAGGATGATCAAGTAATTTATGATCGTCTTATCGTCCTCTTTCTCTCTTCCTTTCTCGATCTTCTTCTATCCACCTTTTCTCGCCTCTCTTTCTCTCTCATTTTATTCCTCTCTACCGCGCACGGGTATATAGCAGAAGGACGCGCTACCCCTCCAAACGTAGAGCGGGATGCTGTTGGTGGGATGAGTACCAAGTAGCAACAAGTCATTCACCTTTTATCCCAGTAACACGAAGTCGTAGCCGCGAGCGACGACGGACGACAAACTACAATCTGCACAAGTACCGTCGCGTACGGCATATCTAGGTATCCAAACGGCCATAAGCTGGACCGTACATTAATTTCGGCGGATGAGACGCTGGAGAGTGTGGAGCGTGTTTATTCCGTTAAAGTTGTCCCCCTCGTTTCAAATGCAGCGGGCACCCGAACGAGCGATTTTGCGATGCGCGAGCAATGACGTCGGGACCGGTTGGTACGCGTATTAAACTAATATCGCCGATAAATTCTTTCGATCATATTTAGATTAAATTGAAGTCAAGCATAAAAATGCACGCGCACATTATCATGCTGATATCAGTGAAAAACGGGATTCTTTCGCCCATAAGATGTTACTCTTCTTTCGTGTTTTTCTTCCGCGAAAATCTCAAAAAAACATGTATCAAAATACAGTTTTGATCAAACATATCTACGTTTTCTAATATTAATGAATACATATTTATTTTTCAACCGTGATTATTTTATTAATTTTATCACAATACTAACATTATTTTATTATGTTAACAGTACTTTTTTGCTTTTAGCAATTTTCAAATAAATAATTTGATTTGCGATCCATATTAAAGTGACAAAATTTAATAAAATTATTTTTTAAGCAATTTATTTTTATCGTTTTAAAATAAAATAGTTTTTCATAGAACAATTATTCTCTCTCTTATTACGCTAACCTCTATAAATTATAGACATATTGAGTTTTTCTACCCATCAAGTTTTTCTACTTAAATGATATTTTATAAATTAGGTACTTTCACAGTTATTAAAATTTTTATTTTATTGAATTCAAATTCATACCATTAGAATATAATGGCAGAATTTGAAGAATGAACAATGACGACAAATCAGCCTACCGGGCAATGCCTTCAATACATACAAGGGGACTCGTTGCAATTGTTGACTCCTAAAGAATATAACTTCTGTAAGCCACGCTCTTAATCCGCTTAATAATAATATGCGACATTTTAGCATTTACTGTGATTTTTTTCTATACATGAGCCTATACGTGCGAACGATTTTTTCGCCATGCGATTTTTTTTTATAAATGGAACAATACGATAAGACAACATCTGTCAGTTGAGCAGAAATTTTTTTATCAAACATTTTAAGATTAACATTAATGTTTCTATCAAGAAATACAATTTATTACTTTTTATCATGAGTCAATACAACATGGATTTATTTATAACAATTCAGAATTCTAACTACAGCCAGTAATAATGCTAATATTAATAATTCTGTAACAACATATATTTTTACGAGATTGTCAGTTTTACTTGCTTCGTGAAACATCAATGTAGAAAATGCATAATATGTATGTACAATCATATAAATTGCATAGAAATATTGTTAATTTTCTAGTTTCTAAAATGATAACTTCTCGATCGATTTCGCATAAGGTCAATGAATCCATCCCACTACCTAATGCCACGCTAGAAATAGTGTTAGAGGATGATGTAGCAGTTCCGCCAACGCTTTTGATAATGAAACAGCTTCAACGCACGCAATGTATTTAAAATTTAAAACATTTTTATGTAATATTATATTAACGCAATATTTGAGTAACAAGTATAAACCAATTTTTTTTAAATTACAAAATTTTTTAAATTACAATACGATTAAACATCAGGTTTATATTACTTAAATTATGCGTCGTTCTTTTATAAGAAATTCTAAATCTACTCTGTACATTTTCTATATATTCCATTAACTTGCAACTCGAAGAAAACGGTTTCTCTTCCAGACAGATCTCATATATAGTTGGCATATCAAATGTCTGCAAATGTTCCGATAACCTCATGCCTAACTAGTAATCCTCATTTACCGTTGATGACTAATTTTGAGTTGAAAAATTCATCTGGATCCATTCGCGGTACCTCCTCTCTTTCAAGAGTTTCTCCCTTCCTTTGATCCGTCGGATCCCACTTTTCTCCCCAAGTGAGGCCCAGTGCGAAACACGTGGGGGTTGGGCTTATGAACCGAACGATATATCGGGGGAAATTTTCCGAAAGCTCGGTCGGAGTGCCAATTGCCGCTGTAGCCGGCAGCAACGGCCAATCGCCGTTGCTCCTAGTCAGACAGGTGGGGGCCAGCCGAGACTTAAGCGAGGCCACTCGCCGTGGAGCTGTCAGAGCTCTGTGGGGCACGGTCACGCACACATAGCTGCTGGTCCCTTCAGTTTTTCCGGTAGCGTCCACTTGGTCGATCGTCGTCTTCGGATCGCGCGATATTCCTTGCGAATTACTCACCGCGTCCCGATCAATTTGTCACACTTGATAACTGTGGATCATTTTGTGGATCAACAATCGTTTTATTCGCGTGCCGTTACTTGATTTGACGGGATCGTTTTGGAAGATTTTCCGGTAATTCAGGACATTTTAGGAGTCGCCGTTTTCACGAGACCTGAACACGATACTTGAAGTGTCAGAAGTGTCTGCAACGCTCTGCTAGTTTTCCAAGGGAGCCGAGTAAGAAGATATGGCTCGGCAGTTGGACCCCACCGGTCTCTACTGAAGACGTTTTTCTCCACGATCGAGCAACTACATACTTCCGCTTTCAGTATTACTGAAGATCATTATCGTCGACATGGCAGCAGGAGGATTGGACCCCACCGGTCTATACTGAAGTGCGTCGAATAACTGCGTTTCTCGAGACCGTTTATATATCCATATCTTTCCGAAGGCTTTCGATTGACTTTCAATTAAAATTGTGCAACATGGCTGGACTCGATCCAACCGGTCAGTATTGAGAAGGTGAAGGAAGGTCTAGAAGAATCGAGGAAGTAGGAAGGAGACTCGAGAGATACTTCAAGGTCGCGACATGGCTGCTACCAGGGGTCTCGATCCGACTGGACAATATTAAGATATCAAAGCCTCCGAAACTTGGAGGAAACATCTTCGTAGATCGATGTTATCAATGATGGAAGAAGTGAGAGGACGAGAGGAAGTCTCATCTTCCAATTTAAGGAGACTGAGATGGAGCATCCATATTCGCAAGGGACGACATCGGACGTTTCTCGTTAATGTGGAATGTCAATGAAGATGCCGAATCTGCCTACATACAGGGTAAGCTTCTTAGCTTTATTTAATAAGAATTATTAATATTAGCTACGAAGATCATATAATTTACTTGCAATTGTTCAACCAATACGTTTCGGTTGTATTAGATTTTGCTTTAATTACGACAGTACAATTTGTTCAGTCTCTCGCACGTGTTCGTCATGGTTACATAATCCGTAGTGATTCGCTCGAGCTCGTGATCAAGTCGCGACTATACTCGCCAAGTTCTCTTTCGGCGGTCAACCCTCTCCCACCTTCGCGAGCCTCGTTCCTTCTCACTCCTATTTACCTTCTCTTCTTGCCATTTCCGACGTAACCGTGATCGCGTCGAGGTTGCAAAAGAAGGGAGAAAGACTTCTTCAAAGATGACCCGCGCATAACCAACGATCCAAAAGGAGAAGGGAGTCAGTTAAAAGGAACGCCAGAGGGAACAGGGCAGGATGAGATTCACGTGACGTGGGACCGCTTGATTCTTTAACATTACGTCACAGCATTCTACATTGATACCTAACGCTTTGCTTTGCTTGCAACCCGGTTTGGTGTTACTGCGATCTGATCGAGATCGATGAGATAGGAGATCTTTACAATAGAATCCCGTAAGAAATACTATACTGGTTGTCTAATTTTGACAGACGCGTAAGGTTTGACATTAAGAGTACGAGGCGGCTATCTCACGTAGATACGTGTTTTATCCTTTCTACCCGGTTTTCTTGTCGCGGTTACGAGCAGGTGCCCCTCTGGGAGTCAGTCTAGACCATTCACCTCGCCATTACCTCCAGTACATAGACCCGAATATCTTCCGGCATATAATTAGACGAGCTGTAGCCTAATTGCAATTGTCTAACTTATAATCGGTGTATCTTCTTTGTTATATGTAGATCTAATAAAATATTTTTAAACAAGCCGTATATGTATCTCTCAATTCGAGGAGTCGTAACCAAGAAATCTGCTAGAATTTTTCTCTTTCCATTTTTCCTTTCCATTTGTCGATATATTTAATAATACATATTGACGCGTTTTTTTCCACTAAACAAAGTTTTAAATAAATGTTTACAATAAAACATATTCTGTTGGCAAGTTTTCAATATAATCGATATAATCTCGCGCATAACTTATATTTAATATAATGCTTGCGCGATATCTAATCACGATCGAAGCGATATCGTGTATTGCAAATATTCGCGTATCGGCATGCAGTCATACGTGTGATGACGTGTCGCTGAATATCGTTGAATATCGCTGAATATAATGCGTGCAAAATAGAGGAATTCCGAAAAGATTGGTCTAGAAATCGATCGCGTTCGGCATTATCGATTCGCGGGCGTGTACGCGCGTCGCGTCGCTTTCGCAAAGTCACGAAATTAGTCTCGGTCCCATGGGAAAGACAAGACCCCGATATAGTGGGTATAGCCGAGGAGGAGGCCCCGGCCGACTCCTCACATGGCCGAGTTCATTGACACCACCTGAGTTTTGGGCATTCACCGTCTCGCTCGCGCGCGCACACTGTCGATCGTGCTCTCCTCGTCAGGAATAAGCGATCGTTCCTTCGCTCCTCCGTTCGCTCAAGTCAAGTCCGCTCCGGTCAGCCACCATACCTCTTCCTCCTCGATGACCGTTTCGAGGGATCCCCTAGGTTTCGCGGAAACAAGTCGCGATATGCCACGATCCGTCATTTTTTTTTTTTTTTTCCCCCCCTATGTTTGCGAACGAATCAATGCGATTCCTACGAGAATTTTCGGAGAATTGCGTTTAATTTTTGTGGAAAATAAGATCGATCTCGACTCAAACGGGAACGGACGTGGGCAGATTCTTCAAAGTTTTCTTCTGCGCGGTTGTGCGACCCGCATACACGAACCTCTTCCGGGTGCGTCCCAAACCGTTCGTTAGCTCTCGCGCGCGAGGTGTGTACAGTGCGGCAATTTGCCGTGATTACTCGACGAATATTTGCACATTACGAGATAGATGTACAGCGTTATATTTCCGAAAATATAGAACGGATATATTTTATCTTTCCTTTAATTAGGAATTTACAATTGTGGCATACAATTGTACAATCGATCGACAAGTGCACATGATAGATAGTAGACGAATAGAGAGTCATGTCTCGTATTATTATATACGATCAAATATCGACATGAATGCTCAAACGCGTACCAACTTGAAATAATCTATGTTACTCGCGTAAACTTGCATAATATGATAGTGTCGTGCGCATCACTAGAGAGAGAGAGAGAGAGAGAGAGAGAGAGAGAGAGAGAGAGAGAGAGAAAGAGAGGAACCTCATTCCTTGACTTAATGCGGCGTATACCGGAGGCGCCGTCGCCAGTTGTAATTTCGAACCGCTTCCGTTTATTCGCCATCATAATGTTTGCCTCGCCGTACGATCTTATTACCAGAATAATAGACAAATAGAAACTACGGAGATAGAATGTAGAAATGCTGCCGTTGCTGTTCCTGCTCCTGCTGCTGCTGCTGCTGCTGCTGTTGCTGCCGCTGTTGCTGTTGCTGTTGCTGTATAGAAATACCGCGAGATGAGAGAGTAAAAGAGGAAAGAAGAATGGGGATAGAATGACAGGGGAGAGAGGGAGAGATGGAAGGAGAGAGAGATCACGCGTGACCTAGGACAACATACCGCGCGACCTGCATGCCAATCGTCTCTCTCTTACTCTCGCACGTACTCGCACATTCTTTCGTTTCTCTCTTACTCGAACGCGCGCCGCGCCGCGGTTTCTCTTCCCGTGTCGCACCGCCGCGCCGTCTTTCTTCCTCCCTCTTACGTCGCTCCTCTCGCAGTAATAGGCGTACCGAATCGTACTCCTCGTTCCGCGATCGTGACACATCGCGCGATCGTGGTTTTAGAACAAGGCGCCGTAATGCTATCGAACCCGGGCAGGCAGGCTCGCGGATTTTGGCAGGCAGACTTCTGCGCGAGCAACACGTCACGCATAACAATCGTATGCCACTATCGTATTTGAATTTGGTGGACGTGGTCGGATACAGGCTGAAGGTGGTAGGTTCGGCCCACGTATATACTTGCACGAACTTTCCTCGATGAGCAAAATGAAAAATTAAAATGAACTTTATTTGGTGAACAGACAGTCAATTCGTGCTCTCTATGCCCTTCTCACTTCCTTTCGACGGATCAATTAATTTTTTGTCAATCACGTTTGAAGAATGTGTAATAATTAATATGACAAAATAAAACGTAAACGCTTTAAAATCGAATTAAAAAAATTATTCATTTTTATTATCTTCTCCAAGTTCTTTATACATATTTAGATATAGTTATTTCTTGTTATATATGTATATTACATATATTTATAAAAAAATATGCGGCATCTCATCACATTCCTTTGAATATATTAATCTCTGATGGACCTGGCAGTTATCTCTTCGGAGCAATACTCGCTTCGAATAATCCGATAAGCATCGTCGCACGTGTCTGACACGTGGTCGACTTGCCCGGCAACATTATCACGTATATGAAAAACGCCGTTGTATACTGGATGGTCAGCATTGAACGGGCGGCATTGCGGCATAAACTGCCGCGATAATAGGATAAATCGACTCGATTGCAATTAACGTCGGGGTGGGCGCGTTAAGTCACGATATTCTCGTTTAGCGTGCTGAACGCGAGTGCTGAGCAATATAATCAGTTTAGCGGAACATCTCGGGCTACAGTAGAGATAATACATAAAGATGCGTTAGTACGACACGACACGATTCGAGGCGATCAGGCGCGAGACGCCGCGCCGCGCCGCGAGAGGAACTCTGGAGATCGCGCGGCGCGGCGCGGCGCGGCGTGGCGCGGCGCGGCATTACGATCGTAGACGTCGACTGCTCTCGTCGTCGGTCGTCCCCTTCCAATCATCCTATCTCTTTCTGTAGCGAGCATCCACGATCGTCCTTCTCCTCCTCCTCCTCCTCCTCCTCTTTCTCCGTCATCTCTGCCTCGCCTCCTCTTCCTCCTTGTTACTTACTCCATCCTCTCCCGCTGTGGTCGCCTCTTTTTTCGGCGGTTCTCTTTCTTTTTTCTCATGTCCAGGAGATTCGGAGGTTCGTTCACCTTACGAGGTATCTACTGCTCGGACTTGTCTACTCCTATGGGATATACGCCGGGGGGGTATTGCTGCGTAGCCGTTTATAGTCATATAGTTAGCTAGAATAACACGCGATCAGGCGCTGTCCTAGCCAAGATTACGCTCGATGAGCCAGAGCCAGAGCCAGAACCGAACCGAACCGAACCGAACCGGGGCAGAGGTTCTTAATTCAACATTCTTCGGATTCTCCCCGGTTTTCTTCGCAGTTCACAAAGTTTAGTCGACTCTCGAAAATCCTGTGTTTCCTTGCCACTCGTAACGATCACTTTATACTTACATCGCGCATAATGCTTAACCTTGCGCTATCGTATTCGCCATTGAGTCGATTATAACATTCTCCACCTAGCAAAGATCGACGATCCGTGACGGAGATGGAGGAAAATTGTGTCGCTATAGTGTACGACACAACGATGTCGGATTTATCATCGTCGATCTTGGTATATATTCGCGACAGCCGACATCATCACGCGCCATCCACGTTCGGCTCCAAGTGTGCTATTCACGCGATAAAGGAATCTTCTCGTTCGATCGAACCGCCGACCTTTCTCGAGCGAGCGCACGAGCTCAACTCACGCGTCGTAGGTCGTACTTAACCATCCGCGAGTGAGCGGGCGCAAAAAAATGTCCGAAAGGCCAATATCGTCTGTATCGTGCAGGAGCGACTTCTAGCGCTTAGCTCACTTAGCTCAGCCTAAGAGTAAATGGGCCAGGGCCGTCGTTGTGCTGGCTCGTGCAACACGAAATTCCCTCCAAGCATCCGATAGTCGCATGAAAGAACGATATCACGATTATACTAGGCACTCATCATCGGGTGGCATCTTAGGCGATGTGTTCGATGCATCGAAGGTCTGACCAAGCAAGCGGCATAATGCCAACCAGTGGCATTTACGGCGGTAAGACCACCTTTGCCTCGACTCTTTCTCTCCATATCTATCTGTCTCTTTCTTCTTCTCGTCCTGTTCTTTCCTTCACACCCTCGCGCACCTTTATCTTCGTTTCTCTCTCTATCTCTCTTTCATTCTCTTTGCTCCTGCCTCTTTCCCCCCATCTCTCTTTTTCTCTTCCTCTCTCTTTAACTCGTTCTCGCGGCACACGGGTCTCGAGCAGCAGCTTCTTTAGCGTTCCATTACCGGCGTTCTATGGAATGCATCGGTCTCTCACAACACCTACGAAGACAAAGTCCGCGAAATCGGCTTTGAACCCTCCAAGACAAACGGCGAAGCATCGATGAACTTTATGCCTCTTTAGTTGACCTATGTGTTGGTCAATGATGTTCCAATCTATTATAAAAAATTTCGATAACAGGAACATTTTCAGAATACGAGATATACAATACTGTAAAGGTTAAATAATTAATTTATTGATATAACTAATTTTTTTTTTATTTAAGAAATCTTGTGTGACACAATTAGTAATTACGTTTGTCTTATGTTGGTTTTTGGTGAAATATGATATAAACTTCCTTTATTCTTACTTAGAACTACATATTACGAATTTTTAATATTATAAACGCTTATGCTGAACATGTCAACAACTCTTGGAACACATACATGACATACTTTTGTCATCACAATAAATATTTATTTAAACATTAAGTATTATATTATATTATAAATGACGTTATATAAATGGGATAATTTCATTATGTTTCTTACGCACAAATTTAATTAAGTTGTTTAATATTATTAGTATATATATGTTATTTATAGTATTTATGATATTCGAATAACTAATATCTTTAGAAAATTATTGGTGACATCTTATTATAAATGACCAAGAGCACTAATGCTGCTCTTGGAAAATAAGCAATCACGACGTACTTCCTTGACGATTACAGTGATCCTTGGTGCGATAATTGACATACTCGTATATTTATGGTCTAGAATGACTACGTATCTGCAGATGAAAATGGGCTAATCATGACGACATTCCCATGTGGGTATTCTAACTGAGATATACTGTCCTGTGAGGAATTGTACTCGCGTGCGGTAGCGTACGACGCGACGGCGACGGCGACGGCGACGGTGACGATGACGGTCTATGGTGATAGAAGCGCCCGCCGCGCCGTCGGCGTTGGTGATGGTGAGCGGATCGCCTTGACGAGAAAATCACGTGGCCGCGGGAAATGACTTGTTACATAAACTAACGATTATCTTGGTACTTGTACATTGCCACGTCTAATCCGACGAGTCTGACACGACCGTCTAGGCGGCCCTGTGACAGACGACGTGTCTCACGTCCGTGTCGCATTTATCACGACTGCATGCAAGAATCACGCGGTGAGATAACGGATATCGCCCCCATGAACCGACACGCGCCAATCATGCGTATACGCTCGACTTAATTCCACTCGATCGAGAAATTCTGCAGGAGCGATAATCAAGGATAACTAGAAGTATGTATTATCCTCACGTTTCGAAAAATTCATTGTTGCACGAGGCGCTCACCCACAAATGCTTTCTAGAGGATAGAATGAAAAGTAGAGAATCGTCTTGCGACAATCACAGAGTGAGCTGATATCTAGGGCAGCGAAATGCAATCGAACAGTCTAGACCGCGATGCGAGAAAATCAGTGCGGAGCACTCACAGCTCACACTGCAGCAATCGGTGCCGGCGGGTGCAGCATGGATAGAAGTAAAGCCAGGAAAGTAGGTCAACATTGAGTCGGGCGAGTCCGAGAACCAAGTTCAGGGGCAAACTGCAGCAGCGCCATGCTCGGAGCCACGGACTCCTCTCGTGCCTTAGGTTAAGTTTTTTTCTCTCTTTCTTTCCCACGTCAACGTGCACACGCACACACGCACACACGCGTACACGTGTGGACGCGTGTACAGACCGTGGTCTATCTCTCGCTCTCGCCCAGGGAGAAGAGAACGAGAACGTAAAGGGAAAAAGAGAGAGAGTATATACAGGAGGCGGTCTAACGGACTCTGCTCTGGTCTGCCTAGTTTTATTTTTCCGACGGATCCAAGCCTGGCCATTCGTTCCGTTCCTCTCTTGCCCGCCTTGGACCCTCCCTCGCACGCGTGCACGCGCGTGTGAGTGCAAGAAAGGAGAGGGAGTGATCGTACCTGTGTGCTTCCCCTTATTTTCTCTTTCTTCACGTTAGCTGATCTTGGCCTAGGTCTCACTAACGCCGTTGCCGCCGCCGCCACCGTTTCTTCGAGAGTGCTTTCTCCTGAGCAAACTGACGTTGTACGACACATTTTCGGTCGAACTTGGCCCAGAAATAACTCTGTTGGAAAGTGTAAGTGAAACCCTTCGCTCTCGAATAACCGTTTCTTGCCATGACGATAGTTCAGCATGTCTACTTTAGACGTCCTCTTTTGAGCCGGAGCCGGGCAGTGACTCGGTTCAAGTCCCAGAAGTATTCTTTAGAGACCACTTACTTTCAGTAAGAGAGACCAAGCGAGACACTAAGGGAAACGCGTTTTCCCTACTTTATTACAAAATATTTCAGAAGCAATCATAAATAATTTCAATAAAGGTGAGTTTTTCAAACTTTTCGAAGGAGAAGAAGATAATATTTCTTTACTTTCATCTCATCTTAATTCAATATCCTTTGATACATATATTCTCCAAAAAAATTTAATTTTTTATGAAAATTTACATAAACTATACAGTACACATGGATTGATACCTTAATGTAGCTACGCGACTCCCATAACGACTGTCGCGATGACGCGTCTGCAATGCAATAACGATAGTTCTCGACTTTACGTACCTTTCCGTCCCTCGAATGATCTTTTACTCCTCCGTAACGAAGCAACGAAGCACAGAATAAAAGATAAAGGATCGAGCGAATAAAATGACCTCGGCGAAATGGTCGCGAAGGCCGTCGAACGCGCGCGAGCGCGCATATTCTACTCGCTGTACTACTCTAGCAGGCAGCCGGAAGATATATTATATCGATTAGCGATAAAGCGCGCCTATCCACCTAGCGAGCGCACACAGGCGTAGACAGGTAGGTTGATGGTGGGAAGGTGGTCGGCCTCAAGTAGACAGGATATAGGTAGCCAGCGGGTCACTCGGGCCGTCTGTTTTACGTCTTCGTACCACACAGTTGCAGCGGCGCATGCGCATGCGCATGCGAACCGGCTAAATCGCGTGTGCCTGTTACACACGCTTCATAGTGTTATCGCACTGTTATCTCCGTTTCGAGCGCGTGCTCACGAGAGACTGTCTGCACTGTATAAGGAAGCGCGTGGACAAGTTCCCGATTCTTGCATTTTTAGACGTGCTTCGATGTGCAATCGATGCGTATACTCGCGCGTTGTCGGCAAATTGTCCCTGAGGATAGACGATCGGTTTGCCAGGGCGTGGTTTCCTATGCGCTTTTTGCCCACCTAGAAACGCACACTAGGCGGCCTTCGCTGAGATCAGGATATCCCGCCGCTCGTTTCTCCCCCTGCCATTCCGGCATACATCCACTTCACCTTTTGTATTACGCTGCGCCCTCCGCGAAACGCACCAGTTCTCTCACACTTTTTAATTACTCCTACTCGCTCGACAAATCGATCGTGCAAGATACTAATATGTCATTATTTATCGTGTCGATGTTACGTTACGTCGATCGGATACTTTGAGAGAAAATAAAAATTAAAACTATATACTTTGTTGCTGCGATATACTATTATTACGACTTATTTATATACAGTATAGGTGGAAGAGATGATAAGCAAATTACTGACATAATCCTGTAGAAATGCTAATCGCCATGCTAATATCGTTCTATTTATGATATGTATACCTCGTTACGTACAATCTAATCTTGCATTATTAATGAGTCTTGAATAGAGTCTATAATAGAGTCATTTTTATTGGCTGTTTCAGGAATCAACCAGCAACGACACCACTGCCGTCGAGTAATTTCATTGTTCTCATCTCCGATGACGAGGACAACGGAGTCTGCTCGAGAATGGAAGGATTAGAAACTTTACACTGCCATGGAAATTCGCCACCTAGTCGTTCCATCTCTTTCTTCATCTCTATCTCTCGCAGAGACACGTGCCGCGACTCTCGAGGGCGAAAAACGCGGACACCCGGAAGAGATTGTGTTCATTTCTTTTGATATTCGTGATAACACGAATGTTCCGTGATTCGCTGTACCCTGCCGATATAATGACCCCGATAAGACGCTACTTTTTTTAAAATTTATATCGCACCTTAAAAGTGCGGTGGCTACGCGGGAACGCAGTGAAACGCGACTGTCACGAGAAGAACGACACTTTGGTTATCGCCGAAAAAATTTTTGTTAGTCCCCGATACCGACTTCATTATCATTGCTGTTACGTTGCTATTATTAATCGCTACTTGAACCGTCTACCACTGATCGAGACACTTGCGCGCGCAACGTCGCGCTGTTACCGTTATCGCTACACTATCAACGTTGTCACAACTAATATAATCACCGTTACTATATATTTTTTCTGTCGCTTCGAATGTCGATGATATCGTCGAGCATATGGATTAGAGAAACAGTAAATAGAGCAGATTGTTTAGGAAAATCCAGTTTCCTCTCTTGGCGTGGCTCTTTAGTATTCACGTTATATAAACTACTGAGAATTATACAATTAATGTGCAGATTTAGACGAGGTATTAAATCATTTTGTTATCGTAAATAAACTCAATCTTGATTTTATTTATATAAAGTTTTACGTTCAGTAATTTTTAATATTACATATACTGCGCTTAGAAAATAAAAAATTAAACACAACAAGTTTTAGCAAATTTCCGAAAAATTAACAAATAAATGTCGAAATTTTTTAGACCCTTTTTAAGTATATTATTTTATCGATTTAATACTTAGACAAGATCGGTAACAGCCACTGAGAGTTTCCAATTAAACTTTTTAGCTTTCACCCAAGTATTAGATTCCGTTACAACATACTTGAAACTAAAAATTAAGAAACTACGATAAATGTGTCACTTTTATCAAAAAAATTACTTCTGGATAAATTTTCAAAATTTTAACGTATATATTTTTTTTTTTTAACAAAGCTCATCGTTGTTCATGGTTTTATAATGAATTTGAAAGCGATGGCTTTCTTTGAGACCGAAGATTCCAAAAAGTAACGTTCGCGCGCACCGAAATCGCCGTTTATACAAAAGAGATACATGAAAGTATCCGATAAATTGATCGTTCGCGCTCGTGCGACATGTGGCAATGTCCTTCGGGATTTCGTGCGAAATCGATCAGGCTCCTTTGCAATTATTATCAGGAAGCGATCGCAGTGCATACACATCGGTCGCGCATTGTTACACATAACTTCTTTCCGTCGGCTATGTCGTAATGCACGATTCACGCGTTTCGAACCACGACGACCGCGTACTTTGCATTCCTCGCATACATCGACTCGCTCGGTGCGCGCGAGCTCATTGCAACTCGCTCTCGCACACGAGCACGTACGAGCACGTACGAGCACGTACGAGCGCACACGCAGAAACATAGACCGAAGCGTTCAGCCGCGCTTCTGCGCGAGCTGGAGCGCATGTTCTTCACCAACGTATATGTGTACGAGTTACCGTATTTCTCTTAATTACCACAACGATCGAGTAGCACATAAGTAAACGTTCGCGCGTTCTATCTTTATTTCTTATTTTCCTTAATTATTATTTTAATTTTCTTATTATCATCTTTTACCATTATTATTTTTATCATTAATCTATTGTATTATTATTATTATTATTATTATTATCATCTTTATTCAATTATTATTAATATTATTCTTGTTTTTCATTGTTAAGTATTTCGGGACTCTTTCTCTCGCGACTCTTTTTCATTAAAACGCCGAATTCCGCTATGGGGATGGCGAGTATGAAAGCGAGAACGATGAGCGGGAGGAGATAGTCGGAGATGCGTTTTCTTTAGTGAGTAAAGAGGCGAATGCGTGCGTGCACACGCGGGGAAGGATGCGAGTGTTTCTTTTTCTGTTTTTTTTTTTTTTTTTTCCTAAGTACAAATGCGTGTGCGAGAGACAAGCGGGATTGAAGGAGAAGCGAAGAAAGGGATAAGAGATATATATATACATACACAGTATATAAATAAATATATATATATATTTTTGTACCCTCCTTTTAACTCGAGGAAAATCGACACCTCGATAACCGAGAAGACGCTCGTGATCGACTGCGATCGACGCCGCGCGTCCGACGGCGACGGCGGGCTTACCGTATCATATATCTCTCTCTCCTCGTCATGATCCCCGTGACCTTTCCCTATTGGAACGCAACGATCCGTAAGGCCGATAAGAGTTCGTTACTTGAGGTCACGTTCGGAAGAGCGCGTCAATAGTTTCTATTATTAATCGTGAATCGCCGCAATTGTCGCCGTATGTCTGAACGTTACCTCGACTAAGATCCACGGCGTTATAGTAACGAGATTCTAATTTCAAAAACTGTCTCTTAAATTAATTTTTCCTTCCGCTCCCGTGCGAATTGTAGGTAGATCGTAGCTGTTTGTTTTTCTTTTTTTTTTTCCTTTATACAACAAAAATGATAAGTGCGAGAAAAATAAAGAATATGAAATAAGCTGTCAAGCGTTGGCGGTAGCCCTTTTTGTTCCGTCACCTCCTTCACTTCCTTTGTGTCTGCCTTCAAGGACAATGCAATAGAATTATTTCGCTGTCCGTGAACGACTTCTCGACTTTCTATGATTGAGTCATTTCTAAATGCGATGCTCTTTTTCCGCCCTCTTTCTTTTGCCCTGCTGCCTTTTTGATCGTTTTAACAGCGAGAGACTATCGATTCCTTTATTCTAAAATCTAATGTATTATTTACTTAATAAACGTTAGTTTAATAAAGAGATTTTGATGATCTTTGATATTTATATGAAAAATGTATGTACGAATAAACAGAATTGTGTCAAACATAAGAAGACACATTTCCTGTACATAGATATATAATATCACGATTATGATATAACTCTTATTTTATCGAAGATGCACCAAGTCATCTATCTATGGGATCTAAGATATTTTCATAGATCAAGAATATATTTATGAGATTTGATTTTTATCCGTAATTATTCCGGTAATAATTAATTCACGGTTGCCTTAATCTTTTAGCAAAAAATAATAAGCCTAAAAAAGATAATATTTTTATTACTGATAAATAGATGTTCTCGCATCTTTTGATTTATTGTTTCGTTATTTTTGTCTTCCATTGTAGGCAATTATTAATAACTTTGCAATTTACAGTCCCACCCTCTCCTCGAAGCTCTACTTGAAGAAACTTGCATTATCGTTGCGAGTACCGGTGCAAGATATCGGTGGCGCCTAGGGCACGTGGCACGTACATCTCTTTTGTTTTTGCAGACCACCAGGCGACTAGGCACTAGGTTACTGGATTCTCTTCTCGGGTTGCTTGTTCTTCCCCTTCTGCCGGTATCCCCACCATCACTATCCCACGATCGCCGGCTCTCTTCTCCCTTCGATTCTCCCACAGACGCAGGCGACCTATGGTGTCACACAGATGCAATATGCAATTTCGATCATATCACGTCGATTATACATACTGTCGATGTTGAACTTCAATCCGTATCGCTCTTTTTTTTTCACTTAACAATGCTACAGTGCGTCTATGTAAGAGCTAATGATACGGAATGAAATCTTTCTGACATTCTACAAAAAAAGCTGAAACTTTCATTTGTTGTTACATTTGTTAAAAAAAAAACTGTAGTTTACAGAACTTTTTATCTTGATTTGAATCATAAACTGGTATCTCTTTTCGATATTTCTTTACAATCTTTTAATATTCAATATTAATATTATCTCGACATCTCAATATAAAATTCTAAATCTAAAATTAAAAAAAAATTTTAACATAAAATTTAAGTAAAATTTACTGCTCATTTTATGAAATATATAATATTTCGAAGGATATAATATTTTAATAGTTTATCTTGCGAATTAACTTTTTATTTTAATTAACGTTCATAATTAGATTTGTCAATAAGGATTTATGTGCTTTTGGATAATCAAAAGAAAAATTTAATTGATTAAAGAATTCGTTGCTTAATACTAAATTAAATTTAAATAAAAAAATAATTTCTAATTAAAATCTAGAACCGTTCTAAAATTTACTTATCACAAAGACACTTTCGTATATTTTAATAAATTCGAATAACAGAATAATAAGTAACTTCTTATTATAAATGTGAATTGTCTACGTCAATTGATTTTACAACATTATTCATAGGTATATTTCATCTTCACATAGAGCAGGTATAAAATTAATCGTAATTGCCCCGTAGAGCGCAATAATGCTGCATGATTGTTGCAACCAAAGTCGAGGTCACTTGCAGTATTTCTTGCAAAGAAACTGTGATTGCGGGATAATAAAGTTTTTCTCAATCGCGATGAGAAACGATCGCTTCGCTTAGATATGCTTGTAGTTTATTAATAGATCTCTTTACATACACCTGTACGGATGTATATTTATTTAAATTGCTTTTGTGGACGTCTAAGAAGTAAGTTACAAAAGCTTATCAATACATATGCCGAGTAAGTGTACGTATATTATTTAAGAGAGATTATTTTTATCAGTATTTTTTTATCCTTAAACTTCAATGTTTCTACGAAGATTTGATAAGCTCGTTATTTTTGGAACTCAAGTGAATTGTTTACACTTTAAATCATTATTTTTAATATTTATATATGATCATATTGATTTTTTTTTTACGTGTGTGTTCTCTTTTGATGTCACAATATATGATCTACTTTTAACAGATCAGGTATGTTCAGTTTTTCGTGAGACCGTTATGGGACCTACAAAGAGGAAAGCCTTGGTGACGATCTTATGAGTATAGCAATAGGACCATAAATATACTTAAAAAAGACATAAATATTCTTTTAAAAGGCGAAATTTGCAAATGCTATTAAATTATGGTTCACGACCTTGCATTTATGTGTGATTATTTCCTTTCTAGTCCATTTTAAAGAAAATTCTGTGCTGACAACTATATTTATGAGATCGATAGACTTTTTGTACTGATTTATTTGTTACCAAATCTATAAATCGTCTCTAAAAAAAAAAAGAATATAAGTTCCAAACATAAATTTCAATGAAATATAGTTGGTATAATGCATCAATCCCAGTAAAATTTATGGGAACATTATTTTTAAAGAATTTATAACTGAAAATTAGACGATGAGAATAAATCAAATAATAATAGAAGAACTTCTATTTTTGATCAAAGGAGATCTTAGTGCTTAATAATATTTATATGCAAATTTGCAAATATACTTTTCAGTTCTATAAATTGCACATAAAAAAGAACATAAAAAAATATAGCAAAATTTTAATTTAAAAAAAAAAGCGAATAATTCAAATTGGGCTCTTCAAATATTAAAACAAATAATAAATAGAGTAAAAAAATTCAATTTTTTATAAATAAAATTAATTTTATAAATTTTTTATATTAATACAATCGGAATTTACGTTATATTTTCAGTTTTTGTCAAAGTTAACTACAAATATGCTTTAATTATTCGTTTGTTCATTCGGAATTTGTTCAGTAAGAGGTTAATATAAAATAATGAAATAATTGAGAAAAGGTCATTCAAAAATATAAATGTTTTCACATCAAAATTGTGATTTAACTCGTTCACGATGTAATAATAGCGTTGTTCTGACCCTTACTTTATGCTTTGTGCTTTTAACCTTTGTGTTTCTATTAAGCTTCTTTTTCTGCCTATGTCATAAAATCTATATTTTCGCTCATTATTACAATCGTAAATTTTATCAGCTGTAATACCCAAGATACAACAATTCTGACAGTTTTGATTGAAATAGTCACGCGACATATATATATTGATATAATCATAATATGAAGATAAATGTTATGACATCATTATAAAATCCAAAGAGTTTCGTATGTTATTTACACTAATGGCGTACGATTTATCAGCCATGTTTCTTATTGTTAATTTCACATTTTATATTTGTTTAAAATTTTTTATATTTTATATTTAAAAATTTTTATGATGTCCGCAACTTAAAGTTTCAGTATGATCATACTGTATAATCAAAGAATGTTAATTAAAATTAGAACCAGTGAAAATTATTCTTTGCACAATTGTAAATGCTCTAATCGAGGCTCTAATGTAAGCTTTACATTTTATTCTTAAATATATAATCATGAATAAACATAACGTGATTTCCCAGACACATGGAGATACGAGTGTAATTGTAATACAATAAGTTAGTTCCTTGCACATTAATTGTTCTTTGCACTTTTTTGTTATGTCTTATTAATAACTTATCTGATGTTAATATCATATGCATATCGCTAGCGATTAATTCGTAACTAAAGAACGTTAATTCTCGATATAATTGGTGCTGAGGGTTTATTATATAGGTATATGAGAAAAATTATTTCATTATGCATTCAATATTCTCGTTTATCTTATCAAGTTATTACTATATCTGAATTTTATTGGATAATAGAGATTAAAACAAAAAAGGTATTTGAATAAAGGAATCTCTTTAAAGAGAAACTTATTCTTTTAGTTATAAATATAAAATAGGATTCAAAAGAAATTAAATATTAGCAAACTTATTATCTTACATTAAAATGATTACAAATAGATGGTATAGCAAAAATACACGTCAAACTGTATAAGTTGTTCCAAATATTTAAAAAAGTTGTATACAAATATATTCGAAATGAACGATAAATACGTAAACAATTTCGCTTGTATAATGAAATTATTGATGTATTTCTATGCTACGCATTATAAATATACTTCTAGGTTGAATTTCTTTGTTTAGGAAAAGCGGTTCTTTCGTCATCGAAGACTATGAGAGAATGATCGAGTCCTTGGAAACGATCCCCGTCTCGGGAAACGCGGAAGCTGCGCGTGGATTACACGGACCACAGTTAGACGAGGGTTGTGAAGAGAACGGGAGAAACGAAGGTATAAAAACGAGATGCCGTAACCACACCACCGCCGCTTAAGGGGCAGCTTGCCGACGAGCTGACCTAACGGGACTACCGTAACCGCCCCTTGCATCGTAAGGGATTAAAAAACGGGATGAAAAAAGAAAAGAGATTCGGAGGTACCCTCAACCCTTCCGCATACCAGTGTTAATCGCGAGCCATTTGGAAAGCACCTTTCTCCGATCCGGTTCCCGACAACCCCTTCCTTTGCTTTCCCTGCTGGTCCACGCATCGCTTCTACTTCGAATTCGGAGGAAGGAAAGGGAAAGGGGGGATTACCAATTTTTTTCACCTTCTTCCACCGTCGCCTCCTTACGCCGCCTCTTCCAGATCACGGCCAAACCACTCGAGAAAGACTATACTCTTCCTCCACCAGGTGCCTGAAATTTCGCCAGCTGTGTACTCCTCGTCACTTCCTGCTCCAAGAAGCAATCGTCTTGAAAATGTCTTAACACCGCGAAATTTTAGTCCTTTGACCGCGGCCTTCGTAACGTTTAACCAATTTACCTACTTTACAGCTACATTTATGTATGTCTATCCGTACAGCTCCAAAATTCGCGAATCTCAAAAGCATTTCTTATATGTGTGCATTATTCAAATATTCTTACATGATATTGACAAATTTGTCGCTTACGTGTGCTTATATCAATCCTTTTAAAATAATTCTAAAAAATATATTGTGAATAACGCGAAGCTTTATATAGCGAATATTCATCTTTTTCTCTAAAAAATCGTGAAGAATTCACGATTCGAATAATGCAAAAGGGTTTATTACATCTTACGCGATACTGAATACCTAATTAGCGACATGCAAAAAATAACGACAGTGTAATATTTTAATCGCTGTACGCAGCGAATACATTAATCCAAGTGTCTCAATCGGCGCTCATGGCCACAAAGTTGCAAGATAGCTACCGACGCTGACGTGGAGGATGTTGATCAATATTAAAACATCATCCTATGCGCCTCGTCCAAATATGGCACGCGATTTATGTTAATTTGAAATAATTACGTCTTTCTAAAACCGGATTCTACAACTACTTTGTGTACGTTGCGTTTATTAATTTGACATTAACATTCCCGATCAATTCGCATAAGCGATACTTTTTTCACGACTGAAAAAAATGTCGAACATCGTTCCTAAATACGCGATTTTACGAAAATGCATAAATATACAAGTCACGTATTTCATTCGAGAAGACTTGTTCTTTAGTTTTTTGCGTCAGGATATTTAACTATGAAAGAAACGGACATAGCTATTTAAATGAGGATATCTCGATATTTATTAATACAGATTTATTAATAAGTCGATTCTGAGTTAATCTTATTTTAAAAACTTTACGTTATTTTATAATGTGCGTTCTCATATACAAACCGTAATTGATATCGTTTATATCTCTAATTTCTTATTTTCCCCCATCGTAGGACAAAACGCATCATACACACACCTCGTTTAATTCTCTCCCCTGGCTGATGAGTGTCTCCTGTATCACTTTCGGTTTTCAGGAAGCCTCCTACGGCGTCCATGCAGGAATGTATAAAATCCATGACGGCACCACGTAGGAATCTCCTTTCGAATCCTCGAGGAGCGAGGACGACGAAGAAGGCTCAAAGGTTGCTGGTGGCTTGTACGCGTATTTGCCGCCTTGATGATAAGGTTGCTTTCGTTATACTACCTGCAGACCATCTGAAAAGACGGAATTGTGCGAATATTCTCTCGCTACCCTCTTCTGTCTCTTCCCTTTCGGTTATCCGCCCTTATCCCTTCCTCACATTGTTTCTATGGCATTTATTATTTTTGTTTCTCTTCGTCCGTTCTTTTTCACTGTCTAAACCGCAGGTAGTATGCGATGGACCGCGGCGCACTGCGAACGAGCTCACTGACCCCTGAAAATATGCGGATAAGCAGAGGAAATTTCTGGTATCCTAAGCACCTCAACGTTTCATGGCGCACCGATGTTCGAGCACGATGCGTTAATCGCCAATATACGAGCGTATCGCGAATATAAGCGATATCGTATGGTAATCGCGTCGTTTAATATTCCTTATTAATATGTCCGTCGCGGTTATGGAACCGCGGTAACGTACGATAAAATAATCGGCCGATGCCACGCATTCCCGATCCTTATTCTACGTTTATTCGGGTAAAATCGATGCCGCGTACACCGACTGTGGATCCTCCATCGGATTAAATGAACTAAATAAAGACGTCTGTGCGAGGGACTTTTCTAAATAATAATAGTCGCCTGTGCGCCATGCATTCGTCCGATTAATTTGTCCGGCCGACGGAAGACAGGCGCGATGCATTTATGATGAAGATTCACTCACGATTTGCAATTTATCATCGGCGAACGATCCTCACGCGAAGATCGAAGACGCGTTCGTCGAAGACGAGTTGAACTCGATGAACCGAGCCACGATGGCTTTCATACGTTACTGGTGGTCTACAGAGGGAGGGCACGAAAGCACGCGGTACAGAAAGAGTCGGTTACATTTAGCAAACACGAAGTCCATTGATCGACTGGTAACGAAAATACACGGCCATTCCTAATTGTGCGTGTCGCCATGTCTAGACATTCCCGATTAGCGAGGAGAAGCATTGATGTTCATTCATTAGTGGCGCCAAATGCGTTCGCTTTCTCTGCTCTCTTGTTGATTCTGACTACTTCGTATTTTCATTTGAAACAATCAGATTATAGAAATTACAGATTATAGAAATATTTTTATGAAATTAAACCTGTACTTTTTTTAAATTACAAGTATGATAATTATTTATGAAAAAATACTTTTAATATATAAAAAGAAATTGAATAATTAAGTCGACTGAAGTACATTAAAGAATTCTGATCTTTTTATTAAGTATGCAATTAATATATATATATAAATATATATCGAACAATATTATTATAACGAATGATCGTGTTCGTAGCATTTGGGTGAGCCTGTTTGATTACGTAAATCGAAGGTCACGGCTGCCTTCGTGAAAAATGCCGATGACTCAATGGCTCGCTACACGGCGCAAACTCAAAAAAAAGGAACCGACAAAAGACACAGGAGAATCGAACATAGAAAAAGGAGCGAACAGTATACGCCATCGTTCTTTCGCGGCAAGGACACAGCACAGGTTCCTTTTCTCTGTGAAATATTATATTGAAATGTACCAAGTCAGCTTGCTCGTCCGCTCCCACCAAGATCGTTACTTATATCAAGAGTCGAGTAAATTTTGTGTGTTTCCGCAACGTCAACCGTTTGATACCAATCGCACGTCGATCTGACGATGGAGATCGCCTAAACAACAATGTACCGCTCATTTGAAATTCTCGCGTGTCCATCGTCTATCTCCATTCAGATAATGATCGACCGATCATGAAAGGAATCCGCTCGAGAATCTTCAGAAAAATCGACACGCGTTTTCATCCAGTCGTACTATTTGTAAAAACACAAGAAAGCCGGAGATTGCAAGCCCTTTACGACCAACCCTTCGTCCCAAAACCCATCGATGAACGGTGAGAGAATCAGGAGAGAATAGAGTCGTTAGTAAGTGCCAAAATAAATAACTTAAATCGCTTGTCGGCTTTTACCTGTTTCCTGAAAGATGTGCACCTTTCTTTCACGGGTCCTATTATCCGACATTCGTCCTAACTTATGCTTTCTCTCAAGAATTCGTTATCGACGGTGTTAGATCTAACCGGCAAAATATTGGCCGTGAAGCGACCAAATTTGCTGTACCTAATACGATAGAATAGAGAAACATTCGACAGTGTTTAGCTTGAGAAAAATTTGCAATGGCGGATGCATGAAATGTCACGTAGTCTCGGTATTAAATGTCGTCCTGTACTACGTAATGCAGTACGCAATAGTATTATCCTAAGAAACGCTTATAATAGAAGTACCTGTACATGTTCTCCAACATTTATCTTTATACACATATGTAAAAAGTGCTTTGAAATAAAATATTGAGAAACTTTAACAGCTGATATAATGTGTTGCATGTGATCAATTATCTTTAAAAAAATTTTTATCAATTTTAATAAAAGATTTGGAAAGCATTGCGTCAATAATATAATAATAATTAAGGGGAAACCCGAATTATTTAATAATAATATAAAATATTTATGCAAAAGAATATTGTAAGCAATTTACTATTATACATAAAAACTTTTAAAACGTGTCCATTCTTGAACAAGAACGTCTTTAAACTTTTTTTTTATTAATAAAATAAAATTCAAGGTTTAATATTATCAAGGTTCTACATGATTCTTTGAAAGCAGATGAAACACACATATATTCATTATAAAGTAAAAATAGAAATTATACCTGGAAAAAGCTGCTAACAAGGGAAGTAGAAAATACCTGTGATCGATTATGATTCACATGTTATTTCGAAGGTCACGTAGATGTAATTGTTCCGGTATGCCTGGCTTAGGACATCTTCGCGAAAGAGAGTTACATTAAGAGGAGCCTGTTAAGAAAAATTCGCCGCGGCATACACATCAAATGTCACATCATGCACGATTAAATGTCGCCGTATTATACAAAGTAATGGTATTATTCAAACTAGCCATATAATTATGGTAATTGTACGACAAGGTTTGCAGTACGCAGCGGGTAAATGTGAGATTTACATGCTTTATTCAATTGGTCACGCTCGTTGTGTGGACACATACTTATACGAAAACATTATTTAATGAGCTGAACGATATATACGAAATTGCACAATTTGCCAGTAAAGCCGACCGAGGTGCATAACCACTGCATAATGAGTTTGCCGAGTGTCGAGACGTCGAGTATCAATTTCACATTACATAATGGAGAAGAAGAGAAATAGGAGGCAAGAAAGAGACAAAACAGTCAGAAGTGTGTCTCGTATCCGCGCTAATCCACACAAACTTTCTTATTCCGCCCCGTAGCCTCGCTTCCGGTTGTGTAACAGGCGCCTACGCCACCGCGTGTATACATCAGTCTCTTCTTCTCCGTTTTCTCTTTCTCTCTTGCTGTCCTTTCCGCACGCACTCGATCGAGTACCCTTGTCGCACGTTATGTGTACCTCCACAAAAGATCGCCAGTTTCATACGAGCTTTTTTTAATAGAACTCCTATAAAAAGGAAGGCAGAGGGTATACACGAGGAAGAGAGAAGACTCGTGCAGCTTGTCGATAGGTCGACAAACGCTGGTGGTTTTTTAGTTGCCGACCGACTGTCCATATACCAGAAATAGGGAATACGAATGCAGGAAGTAACGTATCCTGTGCGACCGATAGCTCAAGGGCCCTCGTGCGCTCTTTTCCTCATCTAGATCAATTTACCCACCTGCGTAACGTATGCCCCTCTTCCCGATATATCTCTATACGATACGTCGCGTCAAGGAGAGATTGGGAGACTTTAATTATACTATATCTCCCTGCTGCGCGCGAGTAACGATGCATCGCTCATTCAAGTGAATGTTATCGTTAAGTATTCTCGCTGGACGTCTTCTTCGTGAGAAGAATGATTCCATGTAAATTGTAAATCGAACTGGATCGCATATTTTGTTTGTCTCAACAATGTAAGCAAAACTTAAGAAATCGAAAAAACTGTTCTTTAGCGATGAATAATTGTTCGTTGTGAAATTATTTAATACGATTCTACATCGTTATTCACAGTGCATAATTCAGATTGTAAATGAGTCGGATACAAAACGAAGAAAGAAGGAGCGCGGTTTTGGTCGACCGTGAGAATGTGGTCGCGCAAAAGAATCTGAAAACCGCTCCTTTCGGGGAGTTTCGGAAGGTATTAAGGGCGATCATAGGAAGAATATTTTCCGGGAAGGGTTACGAAAAGCGTTTCTATTCTTTCAAGAAACACATTTATCATGCGTAAGTTTTAACAAGAACAACAAGATTGATGAGTCTGAATTGATTTTCATGTTATGGGAAGATATAAGAAATCTAATCTAAAAAACGAAAAGATTAAATGATATGAATTATTTTTTTATTCGAAATTTATTTAAAAATAAAACAGATAATTATTTCTTATATATTTCTTATATATACGCACACTACAACTTATTCTTTTTTATGAAAATTATTTTTATCATTACTTTATTTCATTTAAATAAATCATATGTTTGCACACAAAAGTACAAGAACAACGCATCTAGGTAAATTGTTTCCGCATACGTAATTAACAAAAAATAATTTGTTTAGAACATATTTAATTTATGCAAATATATTATAAAATACTAACTATAAGTTATACTATAGATAATACTACAATATATGTATGCAACCTCTTATATTCGTGTAAATATAACTTGAGTCTTTAGTGAAATATAGCATTTTTTGTCAACGCGTTAAAATCTCCCAACGCGATGAGAAAGAACTTATAATGTTTTATAACGCGCGGAAATGCAATAGAAATATTTGAAAGAAATTTACAATCTAATAGCACCAATCATTACGCATAAAACTTGATCACGACGTGAACGATTCTTTCTATGTAATCGCCACATACTCGTATGCGTCATATGCGGGTACCCGGAAACTCTCCGTTCAACATTGTAGATTATTAAAATAATACACGTACTTTTTCAGCAACATTGTTAGCGTAATGGAAGGTTTCACAATCACGCACGATCTTGAGGGTGCGATAAACACGCTTTCTAAAGAATATGTGTCCTACTCGGCACAGGATATTGGCGTATGCGGAGGCAAATTACTTAGGTAAAAAGGGATCATATATAAAGTAGACGCATCCTGCTGTTGATCCTGCAGATCACTTTATCTCAAGCGTTCTCGGACGAAGAGAAATCGCGCTTTCGATGAATCAAGCTGATGCGACTCCTCTTCGCTTTCACTGATTGCTTTTACTTATTTCAAATATGATATAGCGATGACACGGCGAAACGCGTTGGGCGGTCTCTCTTGGAGAGAGAATCGGTAAGAAGAAAAAGGATCTATTTCCTGCAGGATTATCCTGAAAAAAAACTTAAAGCAAGTTGCTCCAAAAACCCTAAAACCTAAGAAAGATTTTTTCTTGTGCTTCTAAGACATTTTAAGCATTTTCTGACCAGCGGATATTGGAAATCCTTTCGGTATTACCCCAATTTTACCTGATAGCTTACCTTGAAATGCATCAACTGTTAATGTGTGTCTTTCGGCCAATATGGTTTTTTTTTTGGTAACGAACAAAAGTGAAAGTGAAAGTGAAAATATTGCTTTAACGAAAAGGTGCTTAAACTGCTATTGTTGAGAGCAAACAATTCAAAGGAAAAATGTTAGGCAGCGGGAACAAAAGAATTGATCCGGATAAATAGGAAATCAGGCTTATGATTTCTTTATTGTAGAATATACACATAAAAACATACCATAAGCTTTTAATATTACAAGTAACAAATTATGCATAATAAATTATGATAATAGATTGTAACAAAAATTAAATACGTTTATAGTCAATATATACTATTTTGAATATTCCAATTATTCTATCTTATCATTTATAATATTCTTAAAGAACACAATTTACAATCTTGTTATATGTTATCTATTGATAGAATAAAATAATTTTCTGCCTATTAATATCAGAATGAAGATTATTTTGAATGAAAATTAATTATTTGAAATCATCTTCATAGTATTTAAATATAAATAAGTTAATTATAATTATATGTTTGTAATTCAATATTTATAACATAACACTAATGTATATACTCAATGAAACTTTAGAGTAACTTTTTACAAAGAAATACAACTATTTATAATAAATTATAACGGTCGATAAAGAAGGTAAGTTGTATGATCCATAGATCATCTTGGGTCGTCCAATGGTTTCTTGCGCCATCTTAAATTGTTCTCTTTACTTGACCATGATACTGTAACGGTATTACCAACTGAAGAACCTACAGTTTCCAAAACTTAAATCATAAATGTTTTTCTTAAATAAAATATATATTTTTGTTGATAATAACATTAATATCATTACATATATTATTTTTAATTATTTAAGTGTATTAATTTAAATTTCATTCTTGATAATATTGTAATTGTATTGTTTAAAGGATTAGTAACAGACTTTACATACATCATAGTACGTAACGATCATCTTACAGGGGCTTGATGGATCTGATAAGAAATTAAATTTCTCAAATATATACTCTACTGAAATAATTAATTTTTTAAAATTTATTCATATTAAAAGAAATTTAATTTATTCCCTTAAGAAAAAGTGTTTCAGTATACTGATTACTATCCAATAACTGATGATATTTCACCAGTAATTGATGAAATATCACTTACTAAGTATTTAATCAGTTTTTCCTAAGGGAAATACTTTTTCCTAAGGATTTATTTGACATATTTGTTTGAGAATATTACAGAAATTTTATAGGAATAAAATGTGAAAAAAAATGTATACAAAATATTAATTTATTATAGTACAAGAAATGCTTTTATTAACAAATGCAAAGATAATAATAAATAATTATGTTACACGAAAAATAAATAGTCAATGTCCACCGAAAAAATAATCTTATATCGCTTCGTAAATGTATTTGGCAACATACTTATCTGTATATTGGCAATATCTTTTACCTATATATTGTCAATATCATTCACGTATTTTTATACTTTGATTTTCGTTGTTGATTATTCTTTGGTGTGTATATGTTACACTTAGAGAAAAATAATGAACGGCTTTGTCGATGTTCCGAATAATTCTCTAAAAAAAATTTAAATTAATTCTAATTGCGACATATCAGGCAATATTAGAATATTGCGGATTCTTAAACTTAATCAAAAATTTAATTAGCGCAACTAATTTCTCGATAAGTTAACAAATCCGCTCAATGTAAGTTTTGTTGAATTGACAAAACGATTCTATGATTATAGCCGGCATGGAGCCGACAGTCTTTGAATGTGGCGCTCTCGTTAACGAAACTGACATCGCAATGTCATCGATCGTCAGCGAGCTACTTGATTATTTGGCGTTTCTTTGGTTGTAACTTATTTGCTGACGTACGATCGGGAATGCGTTCACAAGGGCAATATCGGACGCTTGATCGATGCGTCATTAGTGAGACTTTAGGACGAGTTCAGTTGTAATTCGTTGAGCTGCTTGAAGATGAGGACGATGACGAGGATCCTGCTGAGCTGTATGAATTGGGGCTGCCAGGCGAGTAATAACTATAAGCAAGGTTTTGGGCCTCCACACCATTGGCTGGCGTCCAAACACGGGAATAAGGACCGTTACCATCCCATGTATTGACGGGATCGTAGCTCGACGTCGTCGAGAGCATAGGTGGAGCACCATATGTCGATGCCGGTTCCATAGTCATTCCTACGATCGAAAAATTTCACTTTTCACACGTTCTATGAAAATTACACGCGAATGTGAAACCTTTTCGCTGTAATTATTTTCCAAAATTTAATATAAATCTTCATACAATATCTTCTTTACAGAAACACATTTAATAAATTATAAAATAATATTCCTATACAAAAAAAAGTGAAATGACTTAATATAACTGCTTATGAATTAAGAAAAATGAAATTATTTTAAAAATAGCAACATACAGTTACCTGTAATTCTCATAATAAATACAGAAAGTTACTCTTTATGTTAAATATTAGAGATACTACAATAATTAAGTATTTATACATATGTATAATACATACCCATCGGCATCATCATGCCGCCTTTCTTGAAGAATTGTATAGCAACAAATCCAATTACGATAAGAATGGCAAGTTTTGACAGGACAAGAGCTTTTAGAGCTTTTATTCCAATAATAGCGACAAAAATAGGCAGTAGAGCCTTTAACTTCAATTTAAACAGCAGCAAGAACGGTAGCAGAAGCTTCTTTTTCAAAAGTCCTCGAGCTTGACTAGTATCAACGTCATTATTCTTAAATTCAACGTCGAGATCAGCCAGGCTTTTGCTAGGTCTGTATTTCAAACTAGCATCGACGAAAGGTAAATCAACTCCGTAATCGAAACTCTTGAGATATTTGAAGGTTCTAGCGACGATCGCCTCGTCAACGGTTTCGAGCGATCTCGCTTCCGTGGTGGTCCCCAATTTGTTATCGAGTTGAGTCAAAATTTGATACTTCAAACAAGACGTCCAGGATTCCATCTTTATACATTCATTCAAGGAATTTATCAACAAGTCCTGATTAGCCGCGCAAGATCCAATCAACATAATGATCGCTCCTACTGATGCTGTTAGTCGCATGTTGATATCCATTTTCTTTCTTTAGCACGTTTTGTAAAAAATGATTTGAGTTATCCGTGTTTTCTTCCTTGCTGTCTCGTACGGATTCCACTCGCTGTTTCCGCGGTACCGCGTGTCAATGAAAGCAATTGATCGTCCACCTGTGCAAGTGAGCGATCATCGGCAATCGAACTGCGACTGACGGAGGAGTGGCCCGTCCCTTTTATTTAATTTGTCCCCCTTGAATCTATGTTATTCGGTCGCGCATGTCGGGAATCTACGATTGAAGGGAAATTATTCAAATTTCACTGGCATAGAGCGTCGTACCTCCAATTCCCCCCTCAAACTTCCCTCACGCTCATTCACTCATGCATGTACATGTATCGATTGTTGTGCGCCGCGTACGTTGTACATGATGGCATGCAACGCATACGGGAAACGGAACTTACGCCTTGCGTCTCTTCACCTTCGCGAATTTTCTTACTTGACTCGTCGTAAAGTGCCAGGCGCCGTTTCGCGGCCCATATGCCTTCTACACATAATTATGATTTAACAGAATGAGTAACTGTAGGGACTCTCTTAAAAATCCCAAGCCATGCATATATATGCGATACTACTATTCTAGCGTTAGCGATGCAACACATTGTTTTACGATAATTACAATGATTTATGCACTACTTATGATGCCGTACACTTGCTTCATGCATATGACATCATGAATTGCAATAGTATTCCTTGAGAGAAAGCAGCATATGTATAAATTTTACTATGATGCTAAGAAAGATAAAATTTTTGTCATAAAAAGTTAGCAATTGTATATATTATATATTCGCTACATTATTTTAATTCTTTACAAAATATTGATAACAAATTTTTGTTCTAAATATTAATTTTTACTTTTATTTTCGAAACTAGTTTGATGTTGTCTATATGCAATACATTTGTTTTCTCCATGAAACTATTAAAACATACTTTAATATTTTTGTTTTCATATTTATTTCTACTTTTAAATTAAAAATAAAGTAATGGTAAAAAAGAGATTTATTGATATATATATATATATATATATATAGTAACAACATAATTAAATATTAAAATATATGTATATAAGTACAAGCTAAAATTTTAACTTACTTATTTTTATTTACTTTAATTTATTCAATCTTCTATTCTTCAAAATATCTAAAAATACAATATATCAATCCATAGATGTGGACATGATGTAAACATTCATGTAAACATTGCGAATGGCTAAACATAATACACATATAAATTGATATATACTTTAGATGCACGTATAATGTACATAGATTCTTGTTTTCATAAAAATTGCAGGTCACGTAATATGTTAAAACAGTGAAATGACTTTTTTAAAGTAGTGATTTCTCCAATCAACTTTCGTAAGAAACGAAAGTGATTACTGATCAAATTCGCATATATGTGTACACGCTTATATAGAACTTCTTTAAACTTTAACTAAAATCTTACAAAGTTTTGATTGATTAAAAATGTAAACATTTTATTAAATATAAAAAAGAAATATAATTAAAGCATAGTGTTAAATCAGTCATGATAACACAATATAATGTATAGACGAAATGATTATCTAACTTTTTCTTATCGGTCATTAAAAATAAAAAATTAATTTACAATAAATTACTTATATATTTTTACGCATAGAAGAAATGAACATTCTTAAAACGATGCTTTAAACCTTTTTCAAAACTTTAAAGATGTTTAAATGTTTTAATAAATAAATAATGAACAAATAATTGATCTCGAATTTAAATCTCCATTTCCTTCTTTTAGTGTAAATTGCAGTATTTCTAGTTTTATTATGTACATGTAATTTTGTAATGCATAAAAGTTTGTTGATTTAATATTATAATAAACTTAAAAATATTAATCTTATTAACCATTTTTTCTTTAATAAATTTTAGCATCGAATGGTAAGCGACATTGGAGAAGCAGGTTTTCAAATAAGCATAGATTGAAATAATTTGCAATAATAATTTATTAGATAGACAGTAAAAATAGGAAGCTAAGTATTTTACAAAAGCATCTACAGGTCGATAGTGACATTAAGATTGTGTATGAGCGGAGTATGCGAGATTGTGCGCAAGTTGCGACGTCGAGAGTTGATCCTGATCTTGGAAAGATCTGTATTGAGTTTGATATTCCCATCCGTGAGCAATAGGCGCAGCGTGAGTATCGGCGGCAATTTTTTTGCAAAGTTGGAAGATGGCCATGCCGACAGAAACGATGAAACTGAAGAAAGAGAGCTGCAGGGCGTTCCAGGCCTTCAAACCAAGCACACCGATGGCTAGAGGGATCAGAGTCATCGCCTTCAGCAAGACGAACACGAGTATAGGGACGATGACTTTCTTTAGCTTGGATCTACGAGCCTCATCGACAGCACGGCCCTGGCCGAACTTGACGTTGAAGATGAGTTGATCGTCTTCGATGTTGCGCGAGCTCATCTTCACGGTGGAGTCTAGTGGCAGTTTAAAGGTCACGTCGTGAGAGGCCAAGTAAGATTGTACAGTATCGAGGAAAGAACTTTCGCTACGAGCAGACGTTGTCTCAATGGGGTACGAGTTATGTGTAACTTCTACCGTTTCGGATATCTGCAAAAATAGAAACAGTAAAAAGGTTATGTATAAGTTATTTACGTAACTTTATTTTTACAAAGTGACAATTTTATCATTTATTTTCACAAAGCGAACAAAAATAAAAAATAATAAATTAAAAAATCTGGTAACTGTATTATTATTTGAATAATATATATTATATTAAAGAGAGTTACCAATACTTACCTTGAAGTTATCCTTGCTGAAGATTTGGTCGAGCAGATTAAATACCTTGAACTTCATGCAAGCAATCTCATCACTCTTCTGCGAACACTCGGACCTAGATTGATCTACCATCTCATCCATGGCACTTTTCCAGTTTTCATTCTTAGTTGGTTGTGCAGCAGCCAACGCTAGTAGGCCGCATAAGATGAAGATCTTCATGGCGCTGACAGAGAGTATATCCGTTCGTGAAGATTCCTGAAGAAAATTTGAGTTGTACACTTGTTCGTGGATAATGAATAAGGACGATCGTAGCACGACGACTGATGCCAATGAGTTGGGCAGTACGGTATTTATACGAAGGCCTATCGTCGAATCGTACAACGCACGTTGAAGAATCGCGTAGCACGCTCCCGAACACTCCCCCACTTCCGGGCGTGGATTTTCTTTTCGTTCAGTATGGTCTTCGATTATTGAGGCCTCGCTACAGATCATGCTACGACTACCTAATGAGGGAGGATAGACTGAGCAAACGTGAGATCGCGCGACACGCGGCACGCGACGCCGAATCGGGATGGTGCCCCCGATAGGTTATCGCTCATGAAACGCGATGGAATCTATGATATTAATGGGCAGTAGAGTTTGCTTTCCACGAACGATATCGGAAGACCTACTTGTCATGATAGTCGTTCATGGAATATTTTTGAAGCATGGCTTGAAATTAAATTTTTTATAACGCAGCTAGATTTTATAATCAAATTTGATTCATCCAGGTGAGAGCGAATTAAAAAGTTAATAGAAACGATAGGAGGATAGAATAACAACTTTTAAAGGTTTTTAAGTTTTTATGACCTATTATATCTATTATATAGAGCTTTATTATTGGATAAAATTGAAATTTTAATTTGTAGCCAATATAAATTACAGTACATGATAATTTTTTTGAAAATAAGAGATATAAAAATTGATGTAATAATATGTAATCAGATTATTTAATTTAATCTTTATTATTGTAAAAACAATATTTTGTACTAAATAATTATGACTTTCAATTTTACTTACATAATTTATTAAGTCCTTCAGTTCTTTAATAATTTGCTTGATCTTTACATTCGTGCAAAATACTCGCAATAATTCTAATGATTTGAATGCAGAACGGTATACAAGAATTTGATATGATTAATTATTATAAGTAGTATTTAAGTTACAGATAAAAATTACTTTTGAATAAGTCAGATGAAAGGAAAGATTAAAGAAAAATGAATGAGTAAAAAGTGTTAATTCTTCTAATTATTTTTAATTAGAATTTTTAATAATATTTAGTCCTTTTAGTCATTCGATCTTCTTTGTAGCAAATAATCGGAAGTCATGTATACATAGTAAGAATCCTTTATCCTTGACATCAAAGTTGTTGTAACATTGGCATTGAGTCAATCACTCATTCATGCCACGATCATGCTTTCCACACCAGCGCTACGTTAAAATTCCCTCCTGTCTCTCTTCATGTTCTCTTCACGTCTCTTTATGTCGTTAACCTGATATCTAGACATTACTAATTTCACCCTGCCAGACCTAATTAAATTATAGCTCCTGAATCTAAAGAAAAATTGTTTGTTCAGGATATATCAGCAATGCGCATTGCGTGCGAGTTTCACGCGCGCAATGCGCATAAGGTACCATTGAAGACTTTTCTCTCTTCCTGCCCGACTTCTTCTTTATCGTAACAATGAAACGACAACTGGAGTTTTGGGTCAAGTTTGCATAAACATTCAGGCCATCTATCCGATGAAATATCGATTAATATCTTTTGTATTTTGTATAAATAATCTATTTGTTTTGCTCTCAATCTGTTTACTGGAAACAAATCAAGTTTGCGTATGCCAACAAACATTCCATATATAAACTGCAAAATAATCCCTGTATTACTACATATATTTAATTTTCTAGAGAAATAATATTTTTTAATATTTAAGGATTGAAAGCAATTTGATAGTACAGATTACATAAACCAACAATCTGCATAAAATTAAAACAAATTTTATTTAAAACAGTTCTATCTTAATATTTTTTAATGTTTCACACACTATGCTAATTTATTCTATATACATATGCAACCTATTTTTCATTTATTTGTTTATTATTTTTTTATAAGTTATACTATTTTTTCACTGCTAAAACAATAGCGTACGTATATCTGAAGAAAACGATAGTTTATATATGTATTAAAACAAAATGGTGAGGCCAAAGCGACAAAATTTATTTAATGAATTCATGTAAAAATTTTTATTTTACATAAATAATACAGATGGAATACTAACAATAAATAAATATTAAATAAATCTACACATGATAAAGTGATAAATTTTATTTTACACTTTTATTTTCTATAGGC